ACTCTGAAATTTGGGAATATGCCTCTGTATAGCCCCAGCCCACAGACGTTGACCTTGTAATCCTCCTGCTTACCTCTGTGGCCCACTAATGTTTTCCGAAGGGTCCATCCCTACATATACTGGGGGGATTACTGCAAAGGAGGTGGCATCATGGGGACTAGGAGGGTCCCAAATCCTGATGCAGGAGTTACCTGAGGCTCTTCCTGCACTGCCAGGCATTCAGCCCACAGGCGAGCTCTAGCTGGGGTGCTGCAGAGTGTCTCAGCACCCTCTTCACCCCGTCTTCTACCTAAACTAAAAGCATTCGTAAGACGAAGCACACGATTTTCCAGGTAAAAGCATATTCAGTATTCTCTAGGTCAATTCTTTCTAGTCAGACCTCTAGCGTGCAGTATGTGGGATCGGAGGAGAAAGTAAAGCTAACGTATGGTGGTAATTAGCCCTGACTTGTGTTTCGCTTTAGTATTGTAGACAGCTCTGCTGCTTTGTGTGGCTGTTTTATTTCTGACATATTTTACCTGGGGTTTCTCTGCCCAGCCCTGGCTGTGGTGGTGGGTTGTTGTCGTTATTGCTGTTGTTCTTGTTGTGGTGGCGGCTGTGGTTGTTGCCCCTCCCCCCTTTCCCTTCCACAGTAAAGGAGCTCAGGGGTGCAAGTCTTCCCACGGAAGGACATGGCTGAGCATGCGAAGGGGCCCTGGTTGTGCTGGTTTACTGGACCGGCTGCTGTTTACTTTGGTTGTCTTAACAATGACTGTGGGTTTGCTATAAAACTGATTGATCTACAGCCTCCAGATCAATACGACATGGACAAAATGAACACAATGGGCATGTTGCCACGCTGCTCGCTCACCCCATCACATAAGTGCAAAGAAAGCCGATGACAGCTAGGGAAAGCGCTTGCTCGCCCTGGAGACTATAATGAAACTCTACCCCACACCGGGATAGAGCGCCTGCCTGATCGTTCTTCCCAGAGAAGGATCAGAGCATCAGAGAGACACAATGCAGCTTCAAATGCTGGTGTTGGAGACCTTCTTAGGGAGAACCAGTGTTGGTAGCAATTGCCCACTTAGATATGAATAAAGTAGGCTATCTTGAGAAATAATGAAAAAGAAAGGCGAACAAAGAGAAGGCTACACGGCTCAGCAGCCTAGAGGTGAGAAAAAAACGCCCTCCTAGGTCACCCAGGAGAATCTAAGCATCCTGGCAGGAGGCTGGGGGAAGAGGGAGAAGTCAAGGGTCAGCAGGGTTGCTGGCTGAGGATCTAAGTCTTACTGTAAGCTGGTCCCTGCATGATGTCATCTCTCTCCAAATCTTCGCAGCATCTGCTACAAACACCCTGGTGTCAGAGGTGCTGTGTGAAAGGACAGGAAACCGGGTTTCTCATGTATATATAGCAACTTAATTCTGCTTCTTTTTGACATTCCCATTCAGCTAAGTCGTTCATTACCCCCAGGCAAGCGTCAGAGCTGGGAGGCAGAAGATGAGAGGGAAGAGGTCCCACTGGGGTCATCTCATATCCTGCCCTGGAAACACTTTCATTGTCTCTCTGATCCTCCATTGACAGTTCACATGATTGCACAACTCTGCTTCATTCCCTGCCTCTGCAGGTCCAGCTCATCCTAGGCTCTTCCTCCATCTTCCCAGGCTCTGCGGCTTCTCCACAGGAGAAAACACTATGAGTGATATTTTACCACCCTTATGCCAACTGTGACAAGAGGCACACAAGGTTGAGACCCAGTTCTCAGGAGAGGCGCTTGGGATCGAGGCTGCAGCCGTGTTATCCCGTGGACCCCAACTTCTAAATGCTCTTCTCTTGCCCGCCGGTGTGGCAATGCTGTATGCAGGGTGCATTCCACATTCTTCTGCTTCTGGCACCCAAAGAGACTGATGTTACAATTCTGCCTCTTTTCTGTGAGAAAGGTCACTGTGACAATGTCACTGCTTCTGCTCAGAATGCATCATCAGAATGAACTGTCGTCTACCAGGACTACTCAGGAAATCTGAACTGCCATGTCCAAGGACACCCCAGGCCCCAAAATGCCTTATACAATAAGAGGCATGGGAAGCTCTTGCAGTTCTTTTACTGCAGATAAAGGTGCTACTTTGGGGAGATTTGTTTGTTTGATTGAACATGAATCTGGCTCCTGCTGAGGTGCTTCCTTTCTGAAGCCGTCAATGGCTGTACAAGTGTTTTGTGCAGATTATTCAAATGACTGATGTGGTGGCCCAGTCTGTTAATCCCAGGTGCTCTGGAGGCTAAAAATGTTAAGGCCCAGCCTGCCATCTTAGTCAACCCCAAAACAAGAAAGGAAAAGATGATTGGGGGATGGATATGGCCCAGTGGTCAAGGGTTTGCTTCAGCCTCACTCACCAATTCGGAGGCAACAGAAGGGAGGATTGTCAAAAGAGGCTCATGAAATCGTAGGCAAATGTTTCTAGGTGCCTTTTCCGAAGTAAACACCTGTGTTTTATTTTGAAAATCAGAATCTACAAAGGGTCTGTGACTTAAATAAGGTCAAGAAGGATGGTCACTAATCTAAGGTCAAGGTCACTAATCTGTTTCTCCTCGGCTGTTGTCCCTCCCATAGATCACGCTTTGGCCCACAGGAAATAAGTAAAGATCTCCTCAAAAGAGAATAGTCTTCCTGTTCACTGAATTAAAACCTTAAAACTTGCAAATTTTATTCAGGCTCAATGTGATGATAGCACCTTGCAGTTCTAAAGGGAAGTTGATGTGATGCTATCACTTCTTGATCACAAGGACTGAAAACACCTGTCACCCTTCCACCCTGTTCCAGGCGTTGCTTTCTTGGGTTGGTTGCTACACATCTTCACAGAGCCTGGCTACCTGGGCCCGACCAAGGCTTCTGAACAGGGTAAAGCTCTCTACCTAGCTCATACGATTTGTCCTGTGTCACACTTCTCTGAGGATGTGAAAGCACTTATTCAGCCCACTTTACAGATACGGAATGACTACACCTTTGTCTGCTGGTGCTTTGATCCTGAACTCCACGTGAATGAGAATAGCCCATAGCTACAGCAGCCCTAACTATGAGCGAACACACATCTACCTCACATGCTTTCAAGATGAAGAAATAGATGCTTTCTTGCTTTGTATAGGACATGAGACAAATCTAAATACGTAGAACAAAATGCAAAATGTCCCCTTCTCTGCCCATGGTCATACTGACAGTTATCCTTCTAGAACATTTTGCTTGTATTTGTATATATATTTGTAGGTATGCCGTCCACATATTGTTACTTTGTACGTGTGTGTTTGTGTGGGGGATGTGACTATGAGTGTGTGCATGCACATGTGTGCATGTGGATGGAAGCCAGAGGTCAGTGTTGGGTGCCATCTCTCATCACTCTCCACCTCGCTTTTGGGGACAAAGTCTCTTACTGAATCTGGAGCTCACCAGTTTGGCTTGTCTGGCCAGCCTGTGAGCTCTAGGCATCCGCTTGTCTCTGCCTTTGCAGTGCTGAAATTACCGGCATGAGCTGCACCTAGTTTTTACATGGATGCTAGGGATCCGAACTCAGATCGGCACGCTTACACAGGATGCACTTGACCACCCCTCAATGCCGTTTGTTTCCTCTTTACTCTGAGTTTTCACTGCATGTCACTACTATCTGGATACCTAGACGATGTTTCTCCTTCTGCACGGTGTTGGTTCAAGAGTCCTTTCTTCTGAGCTACCCACTGAAGGGCTGTGCAGGCATGTCTTTGTATGTGTGTGCACGCAAACACAAAGCTCTAGGTTTTAATAAGCATTCCAGGAAAGAAAGAGAAGTTCAAACAAAGGGGCTTCCCTTGGGCAAAGGGTATGAAGCAGAGAAGCTTTTAAGAGCTTGCTAAGGTAGAGCGACTTCTCTGCCTTCAAAGCCAGGTGTGGAGCACAAGGGAGAAAGGCAAGTTACACGGATGTTGTCTACCCAGCCCTGGGGGTAACCATGCTGCCCCTGGAACACAAGTGGGGATTGTTTGCCATAAAGCTTCTCCTAGCACAAGCCCGGTTCCATCGACTAAAATTTCATCTTTTTCCCTCAACCCAGGCAGATGCTGCTCTTTCCTTCTATGAACTGGAAAATCCCTGCCTTTTAAAAACAAAGCAAAACAAAAAAGACAACTGCGGCTTCTTCAGATGCGTCTTGTAGAGCATATAAGAGACCGGAAGGAACGAGCTAAACTTGGACTCCTCTAGTCTTCTTCAATTGACGCACAAGGTAAAAGTCTAGAATGATAAGTCTGAAGGAGGGGAGGAGCTCAGGGTGGAGAGAGGAGTCACCAGGCCTGGGTGCCCAGGGCTGATAGTTGCTGGAGTATCTAGTCTGATGTTCTTCCTCTCTTGCTTGCCATGATCCTCAGAACTCTCCACTCCCCAAGTGCCAAAAACTGAAACACTCCTGCCCAGCAGCCAGGGAGAGTGCGATTTTGTTTACTTTGCCACCCATGGAAAATGAAAGAATAGAAGAGAGAGGGAGCCACAGGTCAGGAAGCTGAGGCTCAGAGGAGAACCTGGAGGTAGAAACCCAGGCGGAAATAAAGGAAAATTAAAACTAGATATAGGGTAGAAAGACATGAAGAACTGCCCCTTTGCTTGCTGTGGTTGCCAGGCCCCAAGTTTGACCCTGGTGACACAAAAGTCATCAACCTGGCTGGGTCAAAGTACCCAGTTCTGTCAGGAAAAGCTATTCTGGATGTTTTCATGGGAGTCATTCTAGTTAAGTTTTTGGCAGGGAAAGGATGAGGTTAACGTTCAAATCAATGAATTTTGAGTAAATAGGGTTACCTTTCATAATATGTGTGGGCCTCATCCAATCAGTAAAAGACCTTAACAGTAAAAAAAAAAAAATGTAGACCTCCTCTGAGCTAGGAGAAAGCATTACTTATGACCCACCTTTATGGCAGAGTTTGGAAATATCTCCCCCTCTTTCCTTATCTCCCACCACCCTCCTTCCTCCCTGCTTTCCCTTCTCTCTGTTTTTCCTTTACTCCCTCTCTCCCTCCCTCTTTTCTTCCCTCCCTCATTGCTTCTCCCTTTGTCTTGCCTTCTGAAGTGTACCCCATCAGTACACTTGGCAGGATAGGATAGGTTCCTGTCCTACTGGTTCTGCTCTCTGAAGAACCTTGACTGATAAGCCTCCAGCAAACCCTCCATGCCTTGCCATGTCACAGTTTATATCAAAGGGTGGTAACCCCAGCCACTCTAGAGACTGAAGCAGGAGCGCCAGGAGTTCAAGACCTGATTAGGCTTCAGAGTGAGTTCAATGCCAGCCTGGGCCATTTAACAACACCCTGTCTCAAACTAACAAGCAAAAGAGAGAGATACAATTCAATCTTGGAGCCCTTGCCTGGCATACATGGAGACCTGGGCTCCAGACCCTTGGATGAGTGAATCTCCTGCTTTCTTCCTCTTACAGCCCAGCTGCTGTGCTTTGAGAGAGCCTGGCGTCATGGAGACTAAGGAGGTGAGATGTCCAGTGATCTGGTCATAAGCTCCCCCACTGCAGCTTAGCACCGTCTTACATGTTCCAAAATCAGGTGAGCCTAGAGGCCTGTGGTTCGAGATGACTCAGAACTACCCACCCAGCTGAGCTCAGGCAACCCCAAGGCCTTGTGACATGAAAAGAATTGACTCAAACACTAAGATCT